AAGCAATAATTGCAATTTTCTTCAACTACATTTACGCACTATTTGCTATGGATTAAGGGAAAACTTTCCTTGCTCTAACAAAGAATATGCTCGACTTATCATTTTTTATTTCGCTTAGTGGGGGTGGAGTCCAACTGGGTCTACTCGGCACGGCGGCCACTGATTGGCCTATTGTAGCATGCCCCGGGTAATTACGATGATGGAGAATTTGGTGGAATGAAGATTGGCAGGGGAAATCGAAGTATTCAGAGAGAATCTTTCCCAGCGCCACTTTGTCCACTACAAATCCCACTTGACCAGACCCGGGATCGAACCCGGGCCTCCGCGGTTGGAAGTCAGAGACTGACTATCGGCTTGAGCTATGGCGCGGCCTACCCTGTTTATCATTTAACTTTGACCTCCAGCATAAGCAATGTCTTTCCGAAGATTAACCGGACTCGAAGAACAGACCGGTGCAGCCGCTACATAAATCCTCACTTGTTACTGATTCCAACAGGTGGTGGTAGAGATGTGGGTTTTCAGCCCATGGTGGAAGTGGTGTGAAATATTAACGCATGCGCATACAACTTGTGTTATTGATCTATATGATGTGTAGATGGAGGAACCCAGAGAGGGTGCAGTCCTCATCACATCCAGCGAGTATGAACGAGCCTGCCTCCCCTGCTGTCCAAAACGGTAGTAGAAGTTACACATCTGCTTAGCCATCTCGCCTGTCAACCCTGCAAGTAAGAATGCAGGAGGACCCCTGGCATTGCAGCCAGAAAAATAAAAGTTGTAGCAGTGGCATCAGTAGTTCGGTTAATTTTCATGAAGATTCTAATGTTCCTTGGTGGAATGGAAACAACGACGGCGTTGAAGCCCGCAGTTTGGAGGACTCCGGCCAGAATGTCCGTGTTGTGGTGGCGGTGTACTGTGTCCTCTTTAGTGTGGCTGCTGTTGGTAATTTGTCTGTGTTCATTACTCTGTTACGGGCGAGACACCGCAAGTCAAGGATCAGCCTGCTTATGTCACACCTGGCTGCAGCAGATCTGATTGTGACGTTTGTGATGATACCTCTTGAAGTTGCATGGCGTGTGACAACAAAGTGGCTGGCCGGAAACTTCGCATGTAAGCTCTTCCTTTTCCTAAGAGCATTCGGATTATATCTATCATCGAACGTTTTAGTGTGCATATCTCTAGACAGATACTTTGCTATCATTTATCCGCTCAAATTAAGTGATGCAAGAAGAAGAGGAAAGTTGATGCTGTTGTTTGCCTGGCTCAATTCCTTGATGTGTGCATATCCTCAGGTGAGGAACAGCGCAGTTTATTTAAGTCAGATTCCTATATTTTAATGTGTGCAATAATAATCAGCTCCATGGCTCGCATGGCTAATAGTCTACAAGCACTCATGAGATCTCCTGTCTTTTTTTAAAACCGAAAATTTATTTATGTCTTCACAAGAGTTCATCATCACTTTTCCTGAAAAGCACACGTCTAGTCAGCACCCTCCCATTTTTATACTTTCCTTCCCTGTACAGCGTAACATCAGGTTCTCATCTGTCATGCATGCCACGTGTTATGTATACCTCAAATAATGTTCCTGACTGCATTATTGGAAATCAGTACTTGTTTCTAGCTGTGTGCCTTTGACATCTGATATTTTTTCACGGCCAGGGCCATTAATACTGCTAGATGAAATGTATTGCATACGCGAGATCTGATGAAACAGATTGTGAAACTAGCACCGGTAGGATAAGGGTTATGAAGGTAGAAACCATGTTTACCTGCCTCTGAACCGTGTCCAGTAACAGGCTCTGGTATATTTGGAGTTGAACCTTATAGTTTTGTCACCAGTTTTGGTTGGTTAGATGCACTATTATTTATTTTGTTAATTTTGTTTGCCTAGATATGTCCTGAAACCTAAAGAATTTGGCGGTACTCTTTTCTTTTCAGAGGAATCTGCCCTGTAACAGATGATACACTCTGGACCCTACTTGAATTTCATGCTTATCTGACGAGTGTTGTTCAATCCTCTGGTTTCGATATTTTGATTTATTTGAGGTTATGGTGCAATTTTTTCAGTGTATTACAATTTGTTGTTGATTTTTAGATTCTCGGTTGTGATTTATCGATATGAAAGTCGATGTGATTGTGACTTGCTGAAGATTGTTCTGATGGCAATGGCCTTAATGTATGTACGCATTGCTCGTCGTCGAGATTAGTAGTGATAAGAGTGGCAGCACTTGAGGCTGCGGTTAGAAAAATTATCAGGCTTGGCCTAGTAGTTGGGGATTTCATTTACAATGAATTCTTTGTCTTGTGATTCGTTGCCTGGTACGGTTTATCTTACTTCTGTTTTTGAATGTTTATTTGTTCTTCGTTGGGTAAATTATTACTCTTTTGTTGTGTCGGTATTGATTTGTTTTAATTGTAGTTTATTTTACTGTAAAATGTTGGTTACTTTTGTTTTTGGAAGTTAATTTTGTTTTCGTACCATGGATACCAGGGATAAATAATTATTTTTATTTACCGATCTCGGAAGAGTTCGTGATTTATTTTAATTAACGCTTCATCAGCATTAATAATATTTTTATGGTAATATTGTGTTACCCGTCTCCGGGTTATCTGGTTTCTAAGGAAATGAATAAAATTCACATATTTTGTTCAATTTTCTTTCTTTTGTGGACTTTTACTTATTGTGAAAGTTTTAGGGAATATTCTTCTTTCTGTGAGTTTTTGTGGATTCTATGTTAATTCGCTTAGTGGGGGGTGGAGTCCTACCGGGTCCACTCGGCATGTCGGCCACTGATTGGCCTATTATACCTGCCCCGGGAGATTATGATGATGGAGAATTTGGTGGAATGAAGATTGGCAGGGAAAACCGAAGTACTCGGAGAAAACCTGCCCCAGCGCCACTTTGTCCATCACTAATCCTACTTGATCAGACCCGGGCTCGAACCCGGGCCGCCGCGGTGGGAAGCCAGTGACTATCCGCTTGAGCTATGGCGCGGCCTTGGATTCTATGTTGATTATCTATTTGAATATATAAAATTATAATTGTATATCGTTGATTTCTTTATGCGTTTGAATGTTCTATTGAAATATATGGTTAAATTTATCTCCATTGTTGTTGTGATGAAATTAGTATGCAATTTACTTCCCATTCCGTATTTTTTTTGTCATTTATTCTAAAGAAACTAGACAAATTTTTAGTGACCGCCCGTTTTGCAAAAACATCTCTTCTTATGAACTCTTTAAGTATGGCCTGCCCATTTGCAGAGCTACTGTATTTTGACTGTGCAAAGACAGCGTAATCATTAGTTCTTTAATTGTGGGTTGGTGTAAATGGTTTGATAAGATACTGGCTGCCTTTTGTTCGGACTGGTTTATTAGATTTGGTGTTTAGATAAAAATATCTATATGTTATTTTGAGACGAGAAAACCCTATAGAGTCTTACATAAATATCTCTATTTTTTTTTTCTGATTAATTATTGCTGACTTTTTATGTGTTGGGGGTGAGAGGAGGATACCTTTAACTCATCTTAGCTTTGTCAAACTTATTTGTATTTCTATGATCCTCTAGTATTGATTATAAGATTAAATTATGTTAGGGATAACAGCATATTGTCTTTTTAGTTTTCTCATTGACAAAATGGTTTGCGACCTCGATGTTGCATTAAGATGAACTATTGGTGTAGAGGCTTTAATAAAATTTCCATTGTGTCTTTCCCAACTTTCAAATCTTACATGATTTGAGTTCAAACCGGAGGGAGACAGGGCGGTTTCTAGCTAAAATTTTCTTAAATTTCTCCGTGCGAGAAAGAGAATGATTGGAAAATTTCTATTTCTTTCGTAATTATTAGTAATGTACTCCTTTGGAAGAAAAGTGTGGTGGATTTAGAATCAGTTTATATAGGATTTTTATTTTACAAATAGCATATGTTGGATTTGATTTCTTTGTTTCTCTTTCTGTCTATTTTTGTGAAAAGTAATGAAAATTTCGAGACAACCAACCCCAGTCACAATAAAGATAGACCAAAAACAACTGGAGAATGTGAAATGTTTTAAATATTTGGGTAGCTTGTTAACAGATGATGGAAGGTGTACTAGTGAAATTAAATCCAGGATAGCATTGCNNATGTGAGAAATGAAGAAGTGTTATTTAGAGTCAGTGAGCAGAGGAATATCCTACACGAAATAAGAAAACGGAAGGCTAATTGGATTGGTCATATCTTACGCGGTAACTGCCTTCTAAAAGAAGTTATTGAAGGAAAGATAAAGGGGCGGATAGAAGTGACCAGAAGACGAGGAAGAAGACGTAAGAAGATGCTGGATGACCTTGGGGACAGAAGAGGATATTCTCATTTGAAGGAGAAAGCTCTAGATCGCATTAAGTGGAGGAACTGTTTTGGAAGAGACTGTGGACCTGTCGTCTTGACAGATTACTGATGAATGAATGATGGGGTAGAACTCCTTGTTATTTTTGAGCATTGCAATAATCTACTGTTCTTTAAGAAACACACATTCATCCTACAAGCATGTTCCTTATCGCAAGTGACCTCATATCATCGCTTTTGTAATAAAGTAATTCGTGCCTAAAATTAATTATAATCTTGTTTGATGTAACATTTAGTAACAACAGCTGGATCCTAAAGGATTCTAAGATGGTGTATAATACTCAGAATTACTGGATTTTTGGACTCTGTCCATCATCCTGTTTTGCAACTATGAATATGATACGAAATTATAACATACAAATACTATACTTTCAAGTAAAGTAGGTACTGCAGAGGAGAAAAATGGGGCAAAAAGAAAAGATATACAAAGCTTATAACGTGGGGTCTCAACACCAAATGTTATTAAAATAAATTAAGTAGTTTCTGAGATGGAAGAATTGAAATACAAAGGAGCAATTGATAACTTCCCGTCGTGCATTCATATCACGTTCCATCAGATATGATGTACTACATTCAATCTTCCTTCCGTCTGTGCAAATAGTAATCATCTGTGAAAGTTCAAGGTCACTGTGACCACAATGCCACTGAGATCATCCTTTCGTGTAATGGGGACGGCAGTCACTTTTTCTTGCAGAAACCAGTAGAAGAAAAAAGCTTGCCTACTTACTGTTGAGGTTAAGGACGTCTGACCTCTCTATGGAGATTGCTGATAATACAGTGCGTTCAATCAAGGAGGAAACTTCGCAACACCGCTGACCCGACCCAGCATTCCTCACAGATTGCTATTGTAACTGCTGATAGCAGAATGAGTCATTAGAGCTGATAAACGCTCACCGTTACATTTAAAGTTAGAGTTACAGTTAGAGCAGCAAGAATATTGGGCCCGGTTAACGATGTTACGAATTTTCCTCCTTGATTGAACATCCTGTATATTCAATCTTGAAAGTACCTAATGCTGTTCATCTTTTAAACGTCGATGTGAAATGATTACTCTTTGTTTTACGATACAAACGACATTAGAGTGAGTTAATTTCCTTAATTAAACTACAGTGTCCTCACAATTACTGGTTTTTGGACTTTGTCCACCTTCCGGTATCCTAGAAACTAAAACACACATTTTGGAAACTTGATCTGATTCCGTCCTCAGGTGGGGGGGGACACCTACTATGTTGGGTCGTTTTGAAAGAGCTAACCTCAATTCAGTGACTGCGGTTAGCTCTTTTCTAACAGACCCAACAGTGTAGGTGTCTCACCCTCACCTGAGGACGGAAAACAGATCCAGTTTCGGAAACAATTTTCTAATTTGTAGAATATCGGACGGTAGACAAAGTCCAAAAGTTCTGAGTATCATACACCATCGTCAGAATTCTTTAAAAGCTAGAGTCTGTCCGAATTAGGCCTACATTACGGGCACAAAAGGAAGAAGATAATTAGACTGTTTCGTCACTGTGCATCAGGGCAAATAACGCAGGAAACAGACGAAAATATTCGAGACGTCTGGCACATTTTCCTACAGCTATCAGTAACCGTCTGAAGGAAGCTGTCTATATTAATCTCTACCCCATTTTGTTCTACTACACAGATTTTGCAGTTCATATTTAATTGGTTTACCGATCACAGTCGCCGGGCGGTTTAAGGCCTAAATCGCCTTGCCCGCTTGAACATTGTGGCCATGGGTTCAAATCTCACCCTAGGTATGGATGTCTGTGTGTGTTTATTTTTTCTTTGTGTTGTCCTATATGTAGGTAGCGCCCTTGCGACAGACTGATCGCCGCCCAAGGCGTCCTACCGATTGTGTATAAATTCAGGAACGGAAAAATGGGTCAAGGTCCAAAGGATAGTAGAGCCATTAAGAGAGAAAAAATTGATTTAAACTTTACAAAACTAATTGAAAACAATTACTGTGTCCTTAAAAGCCGCCACAATACGCCGGCTGTTCTGTGTGGCAGAAGTTTTAATAACTCCACCAAGACAAGTCTCATACCCCAAGGAACACTCTCACAGCTGTGACCGCTGTGACCACGAGAGTTCTATCTTCTGAGATATAACACTGTAGAACCAATAAAGTCATATGAAGTTTCCCAAGACTAAACTGCCACCATATTCAATTTCGAAGGGAAAATCGAGCAAAAAGCCAACATGATGCAGGCAGCGGGAAACTGGGCTTGCTGCAGGACTTCATCAAATATGTGTAGGGCTGATTATGGTTTGCAGTTATAGAACCTGTCCCGGATAGCTCTTGTAACTGCAACGGTAGGAACTCTAAGAAATATGTGTTTGATGATTCGCTCAAGAATTTTCAAAATAAACCTCAAAATATAAGTTAGAATTATTGTGAATACAGGAGGTCAGATATGACAGGGGCGGCACCGAACCTGAGGCCAATAAACATTTTTCTATGGAAAGGGGAATGAAAGTCGTGAATTAGGTACAGGTTTTTTCGTACATAAGAGAATTATATCGGCAATTAATGGCGTAGAGTTCGTTAGTGATAGGATATCATATATAATACTAAGAAGTCGCCCCAACAGAACATAAAATTGATGATATAGAGGACAGCATTTGTGAGGAACCAGAATGTGTATTCGGTATTTCCGTAAATACCATATAAAAGTCTGTTAAAAATTTAACTGACGAATTAGGTAGGGAAGAAATTTTAAAATTAACAATTGAGAGTGAGAATTTACACGAAATTAGTAATGTTAATGGAGCTAGAGCAATAAATTTTGCCACATCCAAAAATCTGACTGAAAAGTATAATGTTCCCACAATTTAATATTCATAATTTTGCTTGCATATCTCCTGATGGAAAGAGAAGACAGCAAAAAAATATACTGGATATCCGATCCTTCAGGAGAGTGGGCTGTGATTCTGAACACTATCTGTCGGTGGCAAGCGTTAAAGGGAGACCGACAGTGAACAAACAGAGCACAAATTTCACATCGAGAAGTTCATTCTGAAGAAAATAAACGAAGTAAAAAGTATATATTGTTATCCGGTTGAAATCTCAAATAGGTTCCTAGGTGTGGAGGAATTTGACGATGAGGTAAATATTTCAAGCTTGGGAAACTTTTAGATATTGTGACACAACGCCTGAAAGCCTGATTCCCCACTTAGTTAGTTAGTTAGTTATTACAGAGGGTGGGTTTCCCCATGCACTTAGACCTGTAGTGGTCCATTGTGCTTCCCTCTATGATTTCTATCAGTCTCTATATCATGCCGGTATTGGTACTTACCATCAGTCCCGCCCAGCCAGCGAGACCGGCCCTACTGGCTGAGAAGTATATATAATGCTTCCCCCATCTACCGGAGGAATTAGTGACTGCTGTTGGGCGGGAAACGTCCGCAATTTTGGCTCAGTGACCTCCTTTGGAGGTATGAGGTTCTTTTACGTGCCGTAAATCTACGACACGGGACCCACAGCTTAAAGTCCCTCCCGGAGGACTTGTTCCCTGAATCCGCCCTTAAAAATTCGACGACCTCCGCCGGGTATTTGAATGATTCCCCACTTGCTGAGGGGAGCTTCGCGTAGCAGTTCCTACGTAACGGTTACTGAAAAGCCTCGGTTGTCACGGCAACCAATATGCTGAAGACGCGAAATAGGAACCATTGGAGATGCTGTCTCTTAGTCGGTAAGACAATTAAATATGAAACTGAGAGCGTTGGTGAACAGAAAGAGAAGTGAGAGGACAGATCGGAGATCAGACCGGAGCGGAGGTGAGAGCAGAGAAGAGCAGATCAGATTCGATGGCTTAGTCAGGTGGCATCGTCTGGAAGAAGTTACGTCAGGGTGAGTGGAATTGTAACTGTGAAAGGGTCGACCAGTAAAATAGCTAACCAGAAGAGAGACAAGATCAGAAGAGAAGCAAGAGGAAAGCAGGGAGAAGTATTCGTGTGGCGCAGTCACAGTGAACATTAGAGTGTGATCATTTTACGCAGTTACGAAGTGTTATAATTGTCTGTAGTTCCGCCAGCGTAATTCTCAAATAAACCGGTTCACCAAATCCGTAATCCATTAATTATTTGACACGGAACGCCGGACACGTGACAATATAATTACGAGGTGAAGAAGCGTAAGCCATGGTTCGACGAAACATGTTCAAACAGGCAGAATAAAGGAAGCGAGAGAGACTGCAATGGTTACAGGATCCAAGCGAAATAAATGGGGTTAAACGGAACAATAAGACGTGAAGCTAGCAGCATTTCAGGAATAAAAGGAGGGGATATCTGAGAGACAAAATTGATGAGCTTGCAACGAACAGTAAGTACAAGAATATTAGAGACCTACGTAGACGAAGAAAACATTTAAAAAGGGTTAACAACCTAGAAATAACTTGGTAAACTTGAGAATTTTGATCTGCTTGCAGATTCCCACAACATTTTGAATATGTGGAATATATAACTGCTCTCAGCTACTGAATGTACACAGGGTCAGTGATTTTAGGCAGATTAAGGTACAGAGAGCTGAGCCTAGTCGTCTTGAGGCCGAAGTTGCTATTTCAAAGTTGAAAGAATATAAATTGCCAAACAAATATAATAAATAAATATTTCAATGCTGACAAAAATAAAACAAAACAATTGGGGATAATTTTTAGGCGAAATAAGTTACATATCAGGATTCTTCTTGAAAATTACAGGACTATTTTGGTAAAAATATGGCACGCCTAGCCAAAAACTTAGCCAAGATTTATAACAATAATTGAAGTACTGCTTTTGGGGCAGTAGGCCCCAATATTGGGTCCCTGAGAAGGTTGACAGAATCCGTGCTCTGTTGTAACGTTAAGTAGGCCACAAAAGTTTTCACATATGTTAGAACAATGTGCAGTTAGTTTTGAATCTCAGTATCCTCCTTTTTGAAAACTGCTGGAATATATAGAAAATTCTTTCCTGATATCTGAAAGTAGTTCGGCCAACAGCTGATTTTCGTCACTGCGCAAATCTAGTTTAGAAACGTCTTCCACAAACAGAACGCGATGTATGTCTGTAAATTTTAAGGTTTTCTTAAAAACCAAAAGTAGACCATGTTGCTGGCTCGAAGTTCACTTTAAATTTCGAAACGTCTTTACAGAATCCGAGGAAACCTTTCTGAACAATTAATCTTTGTAGTGGCAGTTCCACATTCCAACCTCTCTATGGTATCTGAAGCAGAATTACTTGTATCCAAACTCCCTTCTGTACCGTGTATGGAATTTAACTGGAACATTCGGTCTGTGCTTGAGACTTCAAAAGCTTTTGCACCTAACAGAGCAAGGACAAAATTCGAAGCCTTAAGATCGTTGAAACTTAACAAGGACACTAGGATTCCTCAGGCGAACAATGGAAATTGTACCGTAGTGTTAGATGAATCGTCCTATGTTATCCATCTTGCATGTATCCCTTTTAGATAAAATCCTTCACAAGAATGCTAACCTCACATTTTGAAGGACGGCACAGAAGCTGGTGTCTAAACATAAATCTGTTTTTCCTACAATACTGAAATGTAACTTGATGGTGTGAATCTACTGGATGATAATATAGATATCATAAAGAGAAACAAAGAAACTTTAATTGACGCTAGTAAACAGGTCGCTCTGGATTTAAACACAGAGGAAACTAAGTATATGTTGCTGTCTCGTCACCAAAATGCAGGGCAAAATGATGACATAAAGATGATATTATTTTTTATTTATTATTGCTAGTGGGGTGGGACTAAGTCCCTTGTACTACGGCCACTTTCGGCCAATTCTACCAGCCCCAGATGATAGATGAGGGTGATTGTGGAGCAATTGGTGGAATGAAGATTGGCAGGGGAAACCGAAGTATTCTGAGAAAACCTGCCACAGCGCCACTTTGTTCACCACAAATTCCACTTGACCAGACACGGGATCGAACCCGGGCCGCCGCTGTGGGAAGCCAGCGACTAACCGCTTGAGCTATGGCGCGGCCACTGACATAAAGATAGGTAAGAGATGTTTTGAAAATGTGACACAGTTCTGATATTTGAGAACGACTATAACAATTCAAAACCTGATTAAGGTGAAAATTAAGAAGAGATCGAACTCGGTTAATGCTTGCTATCATTCAGTCCAGAACCTTTTGTCTTTTCGTCTGCTGTCTAAATACATGAAAATTATAACATACAAATCTATAATTTTGCCTGTGTTTCTGTATGGGTGTGTAACTTCGTCTCTATTTTAAAGGAGGAACATAGACTGAGGGTGTTTGAGAACAGGGTGCTGAGAAGAATATTTGACCCTAAGAGGGATGAAGTGACAGGAGGTTGGAGAAAACTGCATAATGAGAATCTTCATAACTTGTACTGTTCTCCAAGTATAATTAGAACGATCAAGTGAAGGAGAATGAGATGGGTATGGCATGTAGCACGAATGGAGGGAAGAGTAATGCACATAGGATATTGGTGGGAAAGCTGGAAGGAAGAAGACCACTGGGAAGACCAAGACGTAGGTGGGTGGACAATATTAAAATGGATCTTAGAGTGATAGAATGGGATGGTATAGATTGGAATGATCTTGCTCAGGAAAGGGACCAGTGGAGGGCTCTTGTGAACACTGTAATGAACCTTCGGGTTCCATAAAATGCTAGGGAAGTTGTTGAGTAACAACTCAATTGGCGGCTTATCAAGAAAGGTTCAGTCCATGAGTGAGTGACGGAGAATGAACGCCATGGCTTGGAGACAGACAATGGCGGTGAGCAGTGTTGCAAAATAGTAGTTCTAGTTGCATTTATTCCTATCTGTAATCCTAGTTACAGCCTGTAGTTGCTTTACCAAGGAGTTACCTACTGCATCGTTTTCCTTAACTGAGTTTCATGTATGCAGAGCGTGGTGTTCCACGTGATAGAACATCCAGAGATTCCCAACTTCTACCAGTGCGTCACGTTCGGTTTCTTCGAGACACCCCGCCAGGAGATGGTGTACAACGTTTTCTGCGTGGTGGCCATGTACTTCCTACCTCTGCTGTTCATCAGCTTCGCCTACACCCGCATCTTGTGTGTCGTCGCCAGCAGATCCAGTGGAACAAGAGGTCTGGAGGGTTAAGTTTACTTACAGAGGTTAAGATGTCTATACAACTTAAGACAGATGAAAACAAAACTCCAGGTGCAACGAGGATAATATAAAATCTCGCACAAAACAAAACTTCTAAATCAAGTCAATGCTCTTGAAGGCCACGATTATTGATATCAATTTTAATATTGCCTTCACATTTCATTCTTCCTAAATATTAACTTCCTAATAGCTCTATCACTGAACAATCATAACAAGACCCGTGATTTCTCTCTAGGCCATATTTCCTTTCCATGATTTCACTGTCCTAACAATATTTCCCACGAACCACGGAGATCATTTAGCGTCGGGTTATTTAAATTCATCAACTCCGAATTACTTTATGAGCACCTCATACTTTAATATTTGAATCAATACGTCCTCGTGGTTAGGGGCTATGCCACAAGACACATACAAGCAATTGTTACAATGACATGGGTAAACCATAAAATTAAAATTCTTCTATATCCTCCCGCTACATTAACATAAGTTAATTTACAATAGTAAAATTTATGTTGGGGACACGCAGTAGCGTAGTTCGTTGAGGCACTATGCTACAAGCCCGAAGATCCCGGGTTCCATTCCCGATGAGGTCACCGTATTTTCAATTGACCTAATTCTTCCAGCCGCACTATAGCCCTGAGGTTGACCCAACCTCTAACAGAAATGAGTACTAGGAAACTTCCTGGGGGTAAAGGGCGGCCGGCGCCTAAGACTGACGTCACCGCTATCTAGGAGCCAATTGTCTAGAAAACGTGGGAGCCTTGACGTCTCACAACCATATGGGCCTCCACGGCCTGTTACAGGGATAGCTTAATTTTTACCTAGAATTTCTGTTAACGTGATGTTAAGGAGCGCATGATTCGGTTTCTGAATGAGGACCAATAGCGTCCTTTTGTGAGTACATTTGGTGTTCATGAAATACTGGGAATTTTTTACGCAGTGAACGACTGCTGGTTTTCGAAGTAGATATATGTTCTATTCAGTTAGTTAAATAGTTAGGATATTATTCATCTTCCATCGGTTTGATTACATATTTCTGTGACCCAAAACGCAAGATTTCTCCCCTCCAAATACGAAATACCGAGCAATTTGATTCAGGCGGTAATGCTTCTGCCTTGTCCGGTTCAAATCTCGGCTGGAATAGAGACTACATTTATGATGTTTTGGTAATTTCCTTGCTTCTTCCATGCGAATTAAAGTTACAAGTTGCGATTAGAAAAGTTAAAAGATTAAAAATTAATAATATGAAAACAGATTACGCGGGGTCTAATTATTGGTCTGCTCCGTTTTGTTGTGGTCGAGATGGGCAAACTGCTGTGCTGGGGCCCTTCTCAATATTTTAAATCATGTTTCATTCACGCTATGTAAGGTCTATCTCTTGTATTCTTATTGCTCTGTAAAGTCTAACGGCATTGTTTTGGGTACGAACCCAGTTCCGGCTGGATTGGCTGCAAGGATTAAAAGCGGTATCAAAGCTGTTTGAATGTGCAGGTTAATGTTTCTTTAAAGATTCTTGAACGCGTATATAAGTAAGACAGTGCACGTACTTACGTATTTCGTGGCTACTGTGCTCTGTGTTTAAGCCCCCATTTTGATGATAGTAAAATAGTGGCAACGGTTCCGTGAAAACAGATTTTTTTTGTGAGGGCACTTGCGTATAACTTCGGTACGCTTCGGTATATAGTTGCGAGGCGGTATAGTTGGGGGACGGTAGGTGGGTGTCACGTGGGGTGTTGTTGGAAAGGAGGGGGAAGGATAAGGGTTTCTTTTATTGCTAGTGGGGTGGGACTAAGTCCCTTCTACTGCGGCCACTTCTGGACTATTGTACCAGCCACAGATGATAGGTGAGGGTGATTGTGGAGCAATTGGTGGAATGAAGATTGGCAAGGGAAACCGAAGTACTCGGAGAAAACCTGCCCCTGCGCCACTTTTTCCACCACAAATCGCACTTGACAAGACCGGGCCGCCGCGGTGGGAAGCCAGCGACTAACCGCCTGAGCTATGGCGCGGACTAGGGTAGGGGTTTACTGTGAGTACGTTTCCCGGTAAATGTATTCGGTTTCATGTTTCCGAGGATTCTAGTTTAACATTTGATACATTCTGTTCATTCGTACGTGACATCTCAAAGGAATTGTGAACTTCTGTGCTGCGTTACAAAAGACCGATGGTTTGTTTTCCATAATATAACCGGAGATTAGCCGCTGCATTTGTAATAAAATTCAATATATTTAACAGATATGATACTTTCATATTACTCACCAATAATATTGTCATGTGATATGGAGTGTGACTATAGACGGGTTTCAGATTGATCACCGAATTTATTGGGCTCTTTGGTACAGCCCGTGACTAAATTTCACAGTTCACTATTCCACACACACGCACACTAGTGTCCACAATAACGTCTTCATTGTCATTGCTTGTTAGCGGCTTCCTACAGTTGACGTTCCTTTTCCTCTGGTTTCCCGAACTGCCCTCGGACCCAGCTACCAGCTACTAACAGCAACAGTTCACAACGACTGAATGTTTGCGAAGCCGTGAATTAGCAACGGCTATTGCATAGTTTGCAGGTGACGGCAACCGGGCGGTCTAAGGCATGTACTGTCTTCGCTCGCTTGGAAGCCGGGATCGTGGGTTCGAATCCCACTCAAGGCATGGATGTATGGTGTGTGTATGCGTTTATTCTGTGTTTGTGTTGTCCTGTGTTTAGGTAGAGGCCTTGCAACAAGCTGATAACCCGTCCAAGGAGTCCTACCGTCTGTAAAATGATCATGAAACTGAGAAATCAGCCTTATGCTCCGAAGTGGGAGCATGAGGAAGAAAGAAAATAAGAAAAAGTTGTATAGTTACTTATTTCGCAGCCGTTCCCCAGCAACGGGTTTACAAGCCATAATAAGATATCCTGCGATATCTCGATGCACAGGTTGCATTTTTTTGGCAGTGTAATGAATGAGGTTGCTTTTCGGCGCACGGTTTAACAAATCATGGCGTCGGTCATGAAATGGCAAATTGTAGTTCCTTCTCTATTATCAAGAGTGAACATTTTTCTCATCACAGCGAAAACAGAAGTACAAGTTTCGCACAAGCTTCTTTTGACAAATGAAGTAGCAATTGTGTAGCTTCGTCTGACAAATTCGAATAATTGTTTTTCGCATTAAACCAAAAGAGCATGCCTAGAACAAAAATTCAATGCGAGCTATTTATATTCAGGCTAGTTTATGGCAAAGAAACATACGAGGTACAAGCGTACAACCTACAAACGTGGGAGTCTGCAGACGTTTAGAGTTTCAACTTTACTCACGAGTATAATTTCCATTAGTGCCTGAATGAAAGTGTTTTTTTTTTCAAAGAATAATTACCATGTTATATTCATTTCAGTTAGTCAGTTTGCCGAGTCCTCTGTTGTTTTTAAACCCTTAAACTGTACTTTCCATCTTTGTAAAGTAAAAACGAGCCGGTCACAGTGGCCGCGGTCTACGGCATGAACTGTCTTCGTTCTCTCTGACGCTAGGATCGGGGGTTCGAATTCCACTTGAGGCATGTACTGGGTGTGTGTGTGTGTGTCTGAATTTAGTCTGTGTTTATATTTTGCTGTATTTAGGTAGAGGCCTTGTGACGAGTTGGTCACTCGTCCAAGGAGTCTACCGTCTGTGAAAAATGATTACGGAACTGAAAAAGAGGCCAGGGCCCTGAATGGGGTGTAAGAGTCGTTGTCATGTTCTTTATAACTTCAAAGTAGAAGGCCGTGCCTTAGCTCAGGCGCTTAATCGCCGACTTCCCACAGCAGGGGCTCGGGTTCGAGCCCAGGCCAGATTATGTGGGATTTGTGGTGGACAATGTGGCATTGGAATAAGTTTTCTCCGGGTACTTCGGTTTCCCTCGCCAGTTCTCATTCGATCGACTGCTCCACATTCATCATCTATCATCTGGGGCTGGTACAGTAGGCCAGTTATTGGGCGACGTACCAAATAGACTCAATCTCAGCCCACCACAAGAAACTAAAAAACAGGGAAAGAATAAAATGACCTTTCTTTGCTTCCTGTAGGAAAACAGCAGGATCCAGGAGAACGGGTCAGCGGAAGATTGGGTCTGCGCAGAAGTGACATGAGCAACGTTGAGCGTGCGCGTGCGCGAACATTACGCATGACCATCACCATTGTAGTTGCCTTTATATTTTGCTGGACACCGTACGCTGTGATGACGCTGTGGTGAGTGTCCACCTCCATTGCAGTCATCAAGCTCTATTTTATAGCATCACTCATTAATTGGTCCCTTGATAACTATGCATTTCCAAAAGAAGCAGGATGAAATAGGATATACGTATAAATGCAAACGTGTTGAAGGAAGTTACATGCTTGCACAGTTTAGAATTTCAACATGTTCTCTCATATTTGAAGAGAAATCTTAAACTTCCAAGTAAGAGACTTAGCTTCTGACTAATGTTGTACCCTCCAGAAGCTAGGATTCATACACGTCACATCTCTTCGCTCTCTTCCTCAGGTACATGTTTGACAGAGACAGCGCCGAGCAAGTGGATTCCAGGCTCCAGGACGCACTGTTCATTATGGCTGTATCCAACTCGTGCATGAACCCGCTAGTGTATGGTTCATACACCACCAACTTCCGGCGCAGATGTAAGCGCTGTTTCGAAAGAATTTTCGGTGAATCCCGCCGTTGCCGTTCTCCTGGTGAGCAGAACTCAAACGCTTTATCTACTTTAAGCCGTGGGTCCCGTGTCGTAGATTTACGGCACGTAAAAGAACCTCATACCTCCAAAAGAGGTCACTGAGCAAAATTGCGGACGTTTGCCGCCCAACAGCAGCCACTAATACCTCCGGTAGATGGGGGAAGCATTATAGATACTTCTCAGCCAGGTAGAGCCGGTCTCGCTGGCTGGGCGGGACTGATGGTAAGCACCAATGCCGGTAGGATATAGAGGCTGGTAGAAATCGTAGAGGGAAGCACAACGGACCACTACAGGTCTAAGTGCATGGGGAAACCTACCCTCTCTAATAACTAACTAACTAACTAACTACAACAATCGTACAGCTAATTTCCCTTTCATTTTTATGCTTCTGAGGACGGCCCCTGTAAGGCAATACATCTTATTTGATCAAAAAAAAAAAAAACACCGTGGCTTGTAGTCCACAAGTGAAGTATACCGACCGAGCGACCGCCGCTTGTCGGCGAAGTTAGTACCAACTTTAGCGGATAGTGTGTCACGTGGTCAGCGCAACGGATCACCACGGCCGTTAATCTCGTTTTTCTAGACCGGAGCCACTACTTTTCCATTCAAGTAGCTTCTCACTTATCCTCACGAGGCTGGGTGGACCCCGTTACAGACCCAGTACTTGTCAGAAAATCTGGTATCGCCGAAATTGAACCCGGGACCACTGGATCTGTAGCCAGGACCTCTGACCACTAGACCACAGAGGCGGTCCCTTATCTGATCCATTCTCTATCGGATGACTCATTGTTGTAATAATTTTCTGATTTATTTTTTTCATTTTCTCATATTTCTCTGTCGCATTTTATTAACAAAGTGGTACTTATACAGGGTGTTTCACGACTTTAGGGCATAACTGCAGGAGGTGATTTCGTAGGTCTTTGTGATCAAAAAAGTTCATGTAAACATGTGTCCGATTTTGGACGGTTACGGAGTTATGACCGTTTAAAACTCAGAATAGAAGGTAACGATTACTGACAATAAACGGAACAAAATAATAAACCAACATAATACATGATACATTTAAAGTATGAATGTAAGGTTAACTTCGTGAAATTACCTTTAATTTGAATTTATTGGTGCTTAAAGCTGATTTTCGAAAATGCCACCGCCGGCCGCAACACAGGCTGCCGCTCAGTTGTGAACCGCGCCGGACATACCAACCCACCACGCCTTAGGTACCTCTCAAGTGTCGAGATAACGAGAACGCTCTGTCTGTAGCTGGCTAAAAATAGCGACCCGCCAAATGACAGACATGGTTCACACGAGGGCGTGTACGGGAATGAAAAAACGGTCATAACTCCGTAACCGTCCAAAATCTGACACATGTTTATATGAACTTTTTTTGATCAAAAAGGCCTAGGAAATCACCTCCTGCAGTTATGCCCTAAAGTCGTGAAACACCCTGTATTTCTTGATGTTTTGAAGTCATGCCTTGTAAATATAGTATCAGCAATGAAAGTACCACCTTCATCTGCATGTCTGCCTCCATTTGAAACTTCAGTTTTCTTCCCTTTCTTTTCCTCACTATATTTGCTAAAGCAACACATTCACCACTCCGTCAAATTCCATTTCTTCTTCTCTTCTCCTTCTTCCTTTTCCTTCATTGTCTCTCTCTAGCATCATTTATACCTATCTTCCTACTTCTTTCCGCTTTGCTATTCTTTTCAGTGTCTCTACATTTCCCTTCCATGTTTCCTATCCTCACCTCTCTTTCGTTCCGAGAATGGAGACACGAATCCTACACAAGATGGTTTGAGTGACACTACGCGTGAGGTCCGCTGTCCAGTGAGGCACCGGGAAAATCAATGAAGCAGCGCTCAAGAGTAGAGCTTTCATTTCGTTCAAAGAGGCGTAAAGGCGGACACACGAAATATGCAAGTAACTTCGCTCGTATGAAGTTTATCGGCTCCGTGTGTCACAGGTTTCACGTAGATGGAAGGCATTCCGCTGTTGAAAGTTAGTCATCTCTTGAAGGATTTCCATGTTCACATGGCATCCTAAGGTTCATGCCGTCATTACGAAAGCATATTATTCGGTCGCACACGCCCAGAAAAACAAATTAATCTACTTTATTGCAGCGGTTCTCAAATGATGATGTCAATACCCCTGGAGGTACAAAGCAGCTCGCCAACTTTAGACCCTACGCTTAGTTCTCATTTTCGGAGTATCCATAACAAATTGTTAGCTGTGAATTTTATTATGATTCTGAATCGACTTATAATAAGCTTGCCCATACTACCGCTATAATACACTATATATATATATATACACTATATGATAAAAGCAATATAAATTAAGTTTTTCATTTCGAAGTCTTTTTCTTCTTCTAATTTTCCGTAATGGTTCCTATACTTGTTCAACCGGTTCTGGGGAATCCAAGTTCAAGAAGTATGAGAACTGTTAATTTACGACTCGTGTGTTCTTCTGGCCTCAATTTTAGCATTTCAAAGAACATTGGCTGCTGTGAGTACAATCTGCTTAACACTAAATGACTATCAGAATAAATATAGATTGTATCTTTAAATATAGCATTAATCAACTGGTTCTTAAAACTGAGACGCGCTGTGTTTCCTGTGAGATATTAGAAAAAAGAATAGATGCTTCAAAAAGGAAGCTTAACGTGAGCCTTCTCTCTACGCTTCGGTCTTTGGTGATGTATGCTTATTTCTATTTATTTATTATGATCCTCTTTTGCTACAGTACCGAGGTATGGAAGTCGTCTCCACAAAAGCAGAGTCAATTAAATGTTAATACGTTACCTTAAGCTCAATAAAATATTAAAATTTATTCAAATTTATTGTCTCATTCAACCATTACATATTTCGGTGGCATGGATCACTGTCAGCTGGTTTGTAAATAAATAAATTATAATATCGTTATACTGTGGAAAGAAATGACCATTTTTGGGTGAAAACGTCAAAACTATCGTGGTCTTTCTTATGTTGTTAAGAAAGTTAAAATGGAATTGATTTGGTATAACGCGGGGCATCTTAGGTGTGGTACAGGAAAAATGTATGTACAATTCAGTGACTAAGTACGGGGTATGTAGGCCGTACCATAGCTCAGGCGGTTAGTCGCTGGCTTTCCAGTACGGCGGACCGGGTTCGAGCCCGGGTCAGATCATGTGGGATTTGTGGTGGACAAAGTGAGAGTAAGGCATGTTTTCTCCGAGTACTTTTGTTTCCTTGCCAATTTTCAATCCACCAGTTACTCCACAGTCACCATCATCTGTCATGTGGGGCTGGTACAATAGGGCAATAGTGGACGCAGTACCAAGCGGACTCAGTCTCACCCCATTAAGAACAAACGGGGCATGTATTGACAGTTTAATAATTTCTATTATTGATGAATCTAGTAACTTCTGGACGTTCACTGAAGTAGCTTATGTGTAAGAGGTTATGTAGGGCTAAATACGGTGCGTTATGTTATTTTGGCGACAAAATTTACATTGGCAATGCGAAATATATTTTCAAATAAGGCCCAGCAATTGCCTACAGTTGCAGAACACCTGACTTTATACTCGTATGCATTATAAGATTCTCGCAAGCAAATATTACTTTTGAACACGGTAAAAATTAGTTATCCTAGCCTGGGTTCGATACCCGGCAAGGGAAGTGATTTTGTTTTTGTCATAGCATCCAGACCAGCTCTGAGGTACATCCAGGGTCCTATCCAATGGGTACCAGGAACCCAATCCTTGGGGTAAAGCAGAAGGGACGTGAAGCTGACCATCTACCTCAATCTAGTGACAAGGTCAAGAATGATGGACCTATACCTCCATTCCCCCATACGTCTCCATGCGGTTAATAGCACAAGGACAACTTTATCTTTTCACCTTTACCATAACCTGATATTGTATAATATAACGATATTCTAACAAGAAATTTCTTTTTAGGTGCTGTACACAAATCTCTAAAGGGTTCTGACGATGATGCATAACATTTGGAATTACTGGGTTTTAGGACTTTGTCCATCGTCTAGTATTCTAGAAAGCATAGAACACAAAGTTTCCAAAACTGGATCTGTATCTGTCTTCAGGAGAGGGGGGAGATGCCTACTGTACTGCATCCCTTAGAAAGAACTAACTTCAATCATTGGACAACCAATATCAGTGTAACTGCAGTTATATAATCAACTGAGACCAGGTTTTGTCTAAAGGAGATAATGGGAAATATAATACAAAACTGTGACAAAGCATGCACAGACTTAAAAAATATAGAAAGAGAGGTGAAAGTTTTATGCTACAAGACTAACCAAAAAATCAGTTCCATAAAAACTGATGCATAGGATTAAACTGAGAATTTTGCGAAACCATTTTGTGCCTAACGCTCACGCCATCTGTGGAGTAAAAACTGGACCCTCAGGACTAAAACATTATAGAAACCCATGAAGAATCTGTCACATCTTTATTTTTTGTTATCAGAGTGAAGCAGCAACCCCCAAAATTAAATTAACACATTTTAAATACAGTCACAGCTTGGCCTTTCAAATTAATTTATTCTTGAAACTAAGTCAAAAGTCAAATTCATTATGACACTGGGCAGACAGTGTTACATTCCTGGACCTTAAGACTCAGACCCATTTTTCAGTATTTTAACTCCAATTATGGTTCAATTACATTTTTTTTTCATAAAAGGACATTAAATAACATGATATTGAACATTTAAAGTATTAACAATTTTAAACAATAATTTGATACTTTACCAAAGATTGTTAAAAGTTACAGTTTGAGCTACCAGAGCATTTACAAACTTTATAAACAATTACATTAACATTCTATCAAAATCTGACATCATCAGCCCCTCTCAAATTTGAGTTCTGAGTCACAAGACTGAAAATTTGGAGCATAAGTCTAATATATGTTAATTTAATGGAATCATAAGCTCAGAAATTCTTAAGTTGGGAAGTCATAGTTTGAGGTAGGGCTGTAAAGTGGATGTCTGAAATTCTCATCAGAGACTGCTCTTTGGAAGTTATATCTTTTGTATACATTTACCTTCATATTGCCTTCACGATAAATGCTGTTAACACACTGGGTCTGTACCCTGACAGACCCTTATTCCCTCAATTACCTACTAACTATGGATTATAATTTTTGTTATAGACTGAAACTCCATGTGAAGGAACTCGGCTCCTACAATGCATGTATCCAAACAGAGTCCAACTACTAAAATGACTTATAGGTGGTTTAATTCGGTTTTTGCCATAACAATCTGTGAATGGTGATTAATGTGCTTCTTTGTCTTTTTTTGTAGAAATCTCCACACAAGTCTGGACAGATCACTTCACTCAGGTCTGCAGCAGCGTAGTAGACCAAGAACCGCCTACTAGTGCACAGCGACACTCAGAAACTGGCCAAATGGTACAAACTGACAGCCATTCAAATTCTCTAAACTAGAGAAAACTGTCCTCTACACAGATACATTAAACAATCTTGTCACAAAGTTGATTTAAATTTCATGTCACTGGATGTGATTCTGACCTCCATTATTCTACGGCCTTGTGCCGGTTCAGATGTCACTAACTTGGGTGTGACACCATACTGTCTGGTCAGGCCTATGGCATATCCCAAGGATATACTGTGTATTATCTGGGATGATGCTCAATGACAGAACTGAAAGTACTCCAATTAAACAACCCACAGAGCCACTTCATTCACTATAAATAGGAAACACTGAACTTGACAGTTAAAAAGACAGACAGAAACAAAGATTAAATGACAGATGGGTGACAGTAATCACTGATTACTGCTTACATGTATTTCATCATATAATGTAAGTTCTCACAGAGCTCCCATGATAATCCCTGATTGTTGGGACACAAGCATCCTTAGATTGTTAAAAACCCTTGTTAAACAACTTTTAACAGTGACTCTGAGACATAACCTATGCAAATACTAACCTACATTAACTGTAGATATGTGCAAAGTGTACCATGAATGTGGATTAATAAATCTGTTGTGTAGTACTAGAAGTGTTTTATTCTACATATCAGCAGTGTGGAACACATGAATCTCAGTCCCCCTTGCCTTCTTGTGTTACATACCTGACACCTATTTCCTAACCTGTTAAAAGACCTCAAAGAAAATCAGCAAAGCCCAATGAAGCATTAAATCCAAACGCCCACATTCACATATACCATTCAGAAACTTTAGTATGACATCATCATAAGAGGAGGAGGAAAAGCAGCTTAGTTGGAGAAAACCAGAAGTGAGAAGCAGAAGATTTGTCATCTTCAACAGTCCCATGTGAGGGAAATCAACTACAGGGAGTTTCTGGAGCTCTGAATCTCTTCCAGCTCTTAGGTTATTTAGCTGCTTGCTGTATATGTTCAAAACATACTGAAAATATTTCCTGAATTAATTTTATGAAAGATGAAGTTGGCAGCATTTCTCTATTATACCAGTGTCTTCAGACAATCTGATGATTCTCATGTGGTGAGGATGTAGAGTGGAAAAAGTCACACTATACGTTACAAAAATTTAAAATTTGTACACTGTTTTCTCCTGTATCCCTAATATAAGCTTATGTTAATAAAATTATATATTATGCTTTCAGGAACTATTAATACAACTTTGTGAAATTTAATGTTTATTTAAAATCCACCCCACTACATATTTTGAACCAAATTGGTCATCTTCAGATGGTATAATGCTGCAAACTAGTCAACTGTTATAGCTATTTATACTGTCTTACTGAAAATATGGATTCAGTTTACTGTAAGTTACACGGTTTTTTCCTTGTTTTGTGAATATCACATGGTCAGGTGGTAAGAGCATAAGATAAGGTACAGGAAAATAATGGGAAATTATTTTAGAAATTTTGCCAAATTGTATGCGAGGTGTAATATAAATTCCTTCCTACTGCTGTCCTTATCTGGAAAAATTTCTCAAGTATTATAATAAATAAAGGCCACTACAAACATAAAGCAGAACACACTATTTGTATAGAGGACTATCATAGTTAATCTATTTGCATTTGAAGGCTACAGGATAAGCTCCTGACTTCAAAACTGACACCACTAAGGTTTTCCACTGTTGCTGCTATAACAAAATACAATCATGTATCTTTTTAATATTCTTTCCTTATTTAGAATAAATGATCTGAACCTAGCGAGTTCATACAAACAAGGAATAGCCATCACTCACTCACTCACTCACTTGTGGAGCTGAGCCCTTCTTGAGAAACCGCCAATTCTACAGCTACTTAAGAATTTCCCAGCATTTTACGGAACCCAAAGGTTCATTATAGTGTCCACAAGAGTCCTCCACTGGTCCCTGTCCTGAGCCAGATCAATCCAATCCATATCATCCCATCCTATCTCTCTAAGATCCATTTTAATACTGTTCACACAAGTGGTCTCCTTCTATTCGGCTTTCCCCTCCAATATCCTATATGCATTCCTCTTCTCTCCCATTTGTGCTACATGCCCTGCTCACCTCAACCTCCTTGACTTGATCATTCTAATTATACTTGGAGAAGAGTACAAGTTATGAAGCTCTTCATTATGCAGTTTTCTCCAGCCTCCTGTCACTTAATCTCTCTTTGGTCCAAATATTCTCCTGAACACCCTAAGTCTATGTTCCTCCCTTAATATCAGAGACCAAATTCATACCCGTAGAGAACCACAGGCAGAATTACAGTTTTGTACATTCTAATTTTCATGTTTTTGGACAGAAGACGAGACGACAAACAGTTCTGGACTGAATGGTAGCAAGCATTACCTGACTTCCATCACCACTTAATTTCCTCCTCAATCAGGTTTTGATTTGTTATCGTTGTTCCCAAATATCTGAACTGTGCCACATTTTCAAAATATCTGTTTCCTATCATTATGTCATGATTTTGCCCTGCATTTTGGTGATGAGGCAGAAACATTACTTAGTTTTCTCTGTGCTTACTTCTAGACCAACCTCCTTACTAGCATCAATTAAAGTTTGTGTATTTTTCTTTGTGGTATATTATATTATTATATTATTCCTGCCTGAATAAGTCCTGCCAGAATTTGATCACCACTTGGCAATTTATACTGTTTCAATTTTGCAATAGCACTTCCAACCACAAAAGGGCTAGGATCGGGTATTAACGGCTCAGCTGTATGCATTTATTTCTATCTGCCTAACATCACTGACCCTACGTACATTCAATAACTGAGAGAAGTAGTTCCTCCACATATTCAAAATGTGGGAATCTACAAGATCACCATTCTCATCCTTCACTAACTTACTTCTAGGTTTGTAATCCCTCTTGAAGTCCTTTATTCCTAGTTACTATAGGATTCTGACGATGGTGTATAACACACTGATATATTGGGTTCCAGAAACCCAATATATCAGTCCTTTATTCCTCTTTATATGTCTCTAATGTTCTTGTTCTTACTGTTCATTGCAAGCTCATCAATTCTGTCTTTCAGATATTCCCTCTTTTTATTCCTGAAATGCCTGCTGGTTTCACATCTTATATTGTTCAAATTATCCCCATTTATTTAGCTTGGATCCTGTAACCACTGAAATTTAAGGAATATCCACACAGATATTTATTGTAAATCACCAGGATGCTGTATCATGCATGCACAAACAAAAGCAAGCAAACACACAATCACAGGGCACAGTGTATGTGCATTTTACCTTGCCCATTATTTTCACCTTTACCTTCTTTACTTCAATGAGTACAGCTTTATGACTGCCTAGAAGCATACTGTAACTGGTCTCTAACATTGCTTTGAATATCCATAAATGTATGAAGCTGGGCTTACAAAATTTGCAAGCCCTCATCAAGCTCTGAAAATTATGGTTTCTCTTCCCCTCTGATTAAATTATGTAGCATACAATTTTATTAGTTTATTTACACAATTATTATTTACAATTTTACTTAACATTTTGTTTTAATATACAAATTCATCATTTTCTCTCTTTCAGCAAAATAAGCAAGCCATGAAGTGGGCTCAGCACAGATTTCATCTGATTCCATGTCACATATATACTATTCAATCAGTTTCTTTTAAAATTAGAACAACATACCTTATGAAAAGTTCAACTGATCAGTTGCTATCATTATCACTATACAAGCACGTGAATGCTGAATATAAACATATTGTATTAAAATTTACAGTAGTTTCTATCGAAGGTTCATTTGATCTCACATATGTAAAGTTCAATTTTGACAGTTTGTTCATACACTGTCCTTTCTAATGCATTATAACGTGACATTAGTCACTTGGTAGGTATGCCTGCTGTGTATAACCATACCCAGAGGGAGGTTTGGAGTAGACATGATGTGATGGCGACACACGGGTCAGATCCATATCAGATGAAGCTGCAGGGGGAGGTTTGCGTGCAGAACGTAGCAAACTGGAGATCTCTGTTAGCATAAATTTTGTTAGTTTGATGACAGCCACATGTGCTACAAACTGCAGAATGAGGGCACCAAACCCCTTGTACAAACCTGCCACCCCTTCTTGTTGTACTATCGTCACATAACAATCTCGTGCACCCTCATAGCTTGTAAGAATTGGGATCACTTCATATCCAGAGTCTAAGTTGTCGATTATGGTCCTTGTGCCCTGCAAGTGAAGCCTACAAGAAAAGCACAATTTTAAATCATACATTCCATCCTAGTAGTGGCTCACCACAATATGAAGTTTCAAAATGGACCCACTGATAGGAAAGTCATGTACACTGGGCAGTCATGAAACATTACAAGAAAACACTAATAATATTAAAAGAATAAACTGAAATTAAAGCCGCAACCTCAATGTTTTCATTTCACAGTACAATATATTTTTACCTGTGTAAGACAGTTTCCATAGGAAAGAACACGACTTCAGCAGCAATAAGACCAATGAGAGAAGATGTAAGCTCAATGTCTTGAGACACGGTACGACCTAGGATATCACGAGACAGTGCGCCCTATGGAAACAGTAGAAATTTATACTCAAAGTAAGAAAGCAAACAGCACTCACCACAGAAAGGACCCACATACATAGTGTTGGTGGTGCCTGGTCCATCCAGCCCTTATGGACAGGCTTCCCCTGCCTTCGTCTCATGACCTCCTTTATGAACTTTTGCACATACAGTGAAACAATGACAGAGCAATTATGGCTTATAGCAAGGACTTCATAGTCCTCTATAGTCACTCATACATGTAACAAGAGTAAGATAAACGTTTGTAACCATCAGTTTCTTAATGTTACATATATGGAAAAGTATCACATAAAATGGGTCGGGGGGAGTTCTTGCACCTTCATCATAATGAGCAGCTCCTAACCACCTGCCACTCTTTCTTCCATAACTATCTGGACCAAATGTACTTGCACATGTCATAAAGAGGGTTATTTTCAGTACATATATGGCATTTAAATGTGTTCATTGGACTAGATTAGGAAATTTGATATGGTTTCATGCACAGTTCACATACCACTGCCATAACATGCATCTTACAGTTAAATGTAACTGCCAATTCATAACAATTGCTTACACGTGAGAAAGTTTCATATATTCCAGGTGTAACAGTCTGTATGTAAGTACTGGTGTATTACATTTGTTACTCAAGCTGGACACAAGTTGACTCATTTACATTCACACATATGCATGTGTATGGGACTGCTAGGCACATGATGAATTGTGAGTAGTATGTGGAAGGGAGCTGGAGACAGGCAACAAACAGTGGGAAGCACTTTTGCTTGTAGTGCATGGTTTCTAATTAGCTCTTGCCTGTAGGTATGTAGTGGTTGTGTTAGTTTAAGAAAATCTTTACCATTTCAGTAAGTAAAGTAAGTAAAGCTATCCCTGTACGAGGCTGTGAAGGCCCATAGGGTTGTGAGACATTGAGGGTCCCACACTATCTAGACAATCCGCTCAAAGATGGCGGTAAGGTTGTCAGCCTTACGCGAATGTTATGTGATGACATCTTACCTGTTTCTCCTGCTCGTGCCTGTGAGTGAAGTGCATGACCCAATTTGCCACACCTCGAACCCCGTTATAGAACAAGTACTTAAAAAGCCCATACATCACAGTGGGCACTACCAGAGCCAACACTGGAAGCATGCGACCTAAAACAAGGTTCAATGTACATGACAAAAATTTGTGATCCATCTGTATCTATATTAAATTGGTAGCACTACTAGCGAATTAATAGTTATAGTGAGGAATGAAACTAGCCTGTTTCACCAAATGCATATGCTAAGGGTACACTAATTAATCTTGGTGTTTCTTTGTGTTTCATCAAGTCACAACTATTTTCTCTGATCTATCATGGCACCCTATAAACTTCCATGTATCATACTCACATAAGCTGAAAAAATTTCTAACCAGTATTGGTGTTCCATAGTTAAAGGGTTCTGTTCATTTTCGTAAAAGTCTGCTTGTAAAACAATCACTGACCAGGAAAATAGTTCATGTGAATGAGGGATGAGATGAATGATTGATTATGGATGGAGAAATGGAAATAAACTCAAGCAAAAGTCATGGCCTGTTTCAAAGCACAGAAGTATCCTGGCAAACACAGCTGGCATGATGGAAATAAATCTCAGCTATGACACACATTATTCCAAGGTTTACATGAATTTTTTCAGCCAATCAAGCCGAATGCCAGGGATAATAAGGTACAGGCAAAGTTGTCCCTGTGCTTAACTAATTAAGTTTCCTGTTTAACTATGACCCATTATTTGATCTATTGTCATGTATATGTTCCAATTTTGTATTATATTTTATATACACATGGTAGGTTATGTAGTTGCAGTGATATGTAGGGGTTTCATATGCTCGATTTATTGTTGTGGATTTATACGCATTGTTCTGTTAACTGCTTGCTGATTTGGCAAGCTTGTGGTCTGACAGGTTCTGTATCCAATGGCTTCAGTCTTGTATGGATGTGCTCGAACGTGTAATAAATACAATACAATACAATACAATTCACTACAACTTTAAAGTTCTTTTATAACCCCCCCTCCAGCATAATACCCCTTAACAAGAGTCATAAATTTTTAAAGCTCTATTACCATACAGCATTTCTTAAGCTTAGGTGGCAAAAGGGTCACTGCCACCTCATAAGTCTGTGTCAGCCATGCTGCTGCTGCTGATTGCAGGAAACAAAGTATCAGGTTGGGGTGGAATCCAACAAAGAATTGGTCACATCAGATTTCATGAAAATTAAGTAACTGAATCATAAATTGAAAGTGGGGGAGAGAAGCAGATGGACAGACAACATAGTAATCTCATAAGTGTGCATTTCTTCCTTAAATAGGATAACAGTGACCTTCATTTGAATCAAATTATGGAAACAGAATCTCCAGATTGCAGAAATTTCGAACAAACACCCTTATCCTCCATGGTATTAGGCCCAAACTGTCTGTTATTCATATTAGAAAACACAATGCTTCCTCAATCTTCAGAATACTTCATGAGCATACTTTATTCCTGCATCAATATTTTGTTATTTAATACACCTTTGCAGTTTTGTCTCTAGTATTGCATAAAATCTTTTATTGATCATTGTATTAATTTTTCTTTATGTAACGAGTCCAAAGAAGTAAAATTGGCTATTCATGTCATGAAACATAACAGAGCTAATAACGCAGAAGTTATGTGAGTAAATACAGCAAAGAGTGGTGTACATGGATTCTGTTTTACATACCCTTTTGTGGTGAACTCCAGCTGACAAGACGGCATATGCCTTCTTTGAAGACATCAAAGATACCTGGTTTCTCACTTGCAATATCACTCTGAACAGTTTCCACAAGACTGGCTGAGAAGAATGGTGTTATTACGGCTAGTGTGGTACTGTAACAGAAACATATTGTCACGTGTAGGGGGTACACGTGACAAAATGACGGGTTCTTGTTCGGATGATTGGATTTATTGACAGCTTTGTTACACGCACTCTCTCAATTACACTCAAATTACAGCTTTATCGCTGATTTACATACACCTCATAATCCACTGTCGCAGAGCACACATACTCTTCTAAATCACAGCTGACATCCTCACAGGCGACCTTCTGTATCCATGCTTCACTTCGCTTGCTTCCGCCACTCGCAAATGCTCGTAACTCGTACTCATACTGCATACTCAATACTGAATCAACACTGACGAGTACTCTTGTGATGCAGCTTCCACCCTGACCACACAGAAAACATGTTTACTGATTGCCTATCAATAGTCGCTGCACGGACTCCCCTGTTGTGTGACGTCACAGGCTAGTGTGGAGGGGTGTATACCGAGCGTTGTTACGCAATGAGCACTCGTTACAGATATTCCTATGCAACAGTCTCAACAATTTCCACTGCTTTGTTGCTCAGCGATGGACATATGCAACAATATGTTGCATGAAGACAATGCCTAATGTATTTTGGGATAATGAACAGTTCTCTAGGTTTAATCTTCTTACTGCCAAGCCAAGGTGCCACAGACTATGCAAGAACTATCAGCCTGTTTCATAAGAACCAGATAACACTTCAAAAAAGTAAATATGTGTGTAAGACATGAACATTGTGGAAGCAGTGAAATCTCTAAAACATACATATGAATTAAGAGTGAATCGTCAACTTTAGACTTTTGAAGAGACCAGTTAAAACAAACCTAAAATCAAGGAAAGTGTAAAATCGGGGATATGAAAATTCTGTAATATAAAAAAAGTGTGGGTTCCTTTATACAATATCTTTGGCAAGTCATATAAATATGCATTCATCGGGGCACACAGTAGCATAGTTGGTTGAGGCACTATGCTACAAGCCGGAAGGTCGCAGGTTCAAGTCCATATGAGGTCACTGGATTTTTTCAATTGACCTAATCGTTCCAGCCACACTATGGCCCTGGGGTCAACTCAGCCTCTAACAGAAATGAGTATCAGGAATTAATTAAATAAATTTCCTGGGGTTAAAGCGCAGCCGGTGTGTAAGGCTGACAACCTTACCGTCATCTTTCAGCTGATTGTCTAGATAACGTGGGACCCCCACACAACCTTATGGGTCTTCACGGCCAGTTACAGGGATAGCTTTACTTTTTTTTTTTACTTATATGCATTCATCAGTGAATGCTTCAAAGATTTCCACTACTTCGAGAAAGGTTCACCCTCAGCATAACATCTTTTATTTTCTTCATAGTTTTGTAGTGACCTTTATCCCAAAGCCCAGGAAACTTGATTATACCAAGGCTAAGGCTTATCATCCGATCAGCCTGTTGTCTTTCCTTAGGAAAATGGCAGAGAAACTAGAGGACAGGCACATTAGGGACAGTGCATTCAAGATTCATCCTCTACACTGAAACCAACATGCTTAGTGAATATATAATCTATTGAAACCGCACTGAATAATGTGGTAACATGCACAGAAAATACTACTGAACATAAGAATATTTCCCTTGGAGCAATCCTTGACATAGAGGGAGCTTTCGACAGAACCTCATTTGATTGTGCTGTAGAGTCTTGTTATGGATGATCTCTGGGGACTCAACAGTAATCACTACTACACATTAGGATATGCTGATGACATAGCAATCCTAATCAATGGGAAATTCCTTCAGACTGTGCCAGGGGTCTTACAGCCATGTGCACATTCCAACAATGGTGTAAAAGAACAAAGTTGTCTATCAACCCAAATAACGCAGTAGTTATACCCTTTATTAGGAAGAGGAACATAAAAGGGGCTCTAGGAACCAATCCTCTTCAGTACAATGATCCAGCTATCCAGTGAGTCAGGTACTTTGGAATATCATTAGACAAGGGACTGACATGGAGAAACCAGCTGGATAAGGTTATTAACAAGGCCTACAAGGCCATCTGGACATGCAGAGGACTGGGGACTGAAACCAAAGGTGATATACTGGATACACACTGTGGTAGTAAGATCCATAGTTACCTATGCTGCCACTGTATGATGACCCAGAGTTAAACTCAAAACAAGTCAGGCAGAAACTAGCAAATTGCGAAGGAAAGCCTGCTCGGGAATTACAGGAGCAATGAAAACAGCTCCAATAGCTGCAATGGAAGTTCTCCTTGGATTCCACCCACTACACCAGCAGGTGGAAGCAGAGGCCAAGGTAGAAAATTACAGAGTACTTTGAAATGATCAATGGAAACCCAAATCCAAAGGTTTCAAACAAGGCATATGACTGAGGACATGGGGGGGGGGAAACCCCATCTGATAAAATGACGACATATGTATGATAAACCATTCATGATCAGATTCCCTGATAGAAGTGGAAAAAGGGGTTTCAACATGACAGAAAAGGAGGGACTAATCTGGTATACAGATGGTTCCAAGACAAAAAAAAAAGGCACTGGAACCGGGGTTCATCGCCATGGATCAAGGCGGAATCTTAGCTTTAGCCTTGGAAGGTACACAACGGTATTCCAGGCAGAAGTGTATGCCATTAAGGCATGCACAGCTGAGAAACTAGAAAGAAACTATAAAAACAGAAACATCTACATTCTATCAGACATTCAAGCAGCAATTAAAGCACTTGGCAACCACCAGATCAGCTAAAAACTGGTCTAGGACTGCCATCAGTCCCTCATACAACTGGCCAGACATAACAGAGTTCAACTGATATGGGTGCCAGGTCATGAGAGTATTGCTGGGAATAAAACAGCAGATCAGCTGGCAAGAACAGGATCTGAACAACCATTCACAGGACCTGAACCAGCTTGCAGCATCTCAGTTTGAGTTGCCAAGAAAGTGGTCAGGGACTGGATGAACAGAAATAAAAAAAAGAAAAAAAAAACAGTGGGAATCCACAACTGGATTCAAACAGGCAAAGGGACTTATACCAGGATCCTCTGCCAAAAGAACAAAGGATCTGTTGAAGTTAAACAAAGATGAATTAAGATGGGTGGTAGGACTGTTTACAGGACACTGTCACCTAAAAGGACACCTTTACAAACTGAGTTCGACAGATGGCCCCACTTGTGAAAGGTATCTAGAAGAAGATGAATCAGCCACACATATCCTATGTGATTGTGAGGCCATAGCTTTTTTTAATATTTCATCATTTGAGCCAGTACTTCTTGGAACAAAGTGACTACTATGACGCCCCCATAAAGACAGTCCTACATTAATAAAGGGTTAATCAAAGAGGAAGCACAACAGATCATTGATGGTTATGGTGCAAGGGGCAGATTATTACAGCCAACCCCTCATATATTCATTCAACATGTGAGATCATGCCTCGCATGTAACAGGTGCTGGAAGATTACAGTAGCAGAAATGTTAAAGATGCAGTTAACTAAGAAAATTTTTAACAACTTCAGCAGTTCTTTCTTTAGATAAATTCAGGAACATTAATTTATTTTCAAAACTTTTATCCTTCATAAGGTTCTCATATCAATAAACTTTTGGATTCACATACAAGATTCTTCCTGGGAGGACTTAACATAATGCATCTCTATTGCATGCTTGCCTCTAAAGTAGCACTAACAGAAGGTCTCATGCATACCCTCATACTAAATAAGACACATAGCGGCCTCCGTAGTCTAGAGGTAACGTTCCCCCCTCATGACTCGTGGTACGCGGGTTCAAATACCCAGCGGAGGTCGTCGAATTTTTAAGGGCGGAAAAATACAGGGAACAAGTCCTCCGGGAGGGACTTTAAGCCATGGGTCCCGTGTCGTAGCTTTACAGCACGTAAAAGAACCTCATATCTCCAAAGGAGGTCACTGAGCCAAATTAACGGACGTTTCCCGCCCAACAGCAGTCTCTAATACCTCTGGTAGATGGGGGAAGCATTATAGATACCTCTCAGCTAGTAGAGCCGGTCTCGCTGGCTGGGCGGGACTGATGGTAAGCACCAGTACCGATAGGATATAGAGACTGGTAGAAATCATAGAGGGAAGCACAATGGACCAATACAGGTCTCAGTGCATGGGGAAACCCACCCTCTCCAATAACTAACTAACTAACTAACTAAATAAGACAAATAGTGGCCTCCGTAGTCTAGAGGTAACGTCCCCACCTCATGACTCGTGGTACGCGGGTTCAAACCTGCCGGAGGTCGTGGAAATTTTAAGGGTGGAAAAATTCAGGGAACAAGTCCTCCGGGATGAACTTTAAGCCGTGGGTCCCATGTCGTAGCTTTACGGCACGTAAAAGAACCTCATATCTCCAAAGAAGGTCACTGAGCCAAATTCAAGGACGTTTCCCGCCCACCAGTAGTCTCTAACGCCTCTGACAGATGGGGGAAGCATTATAGATACCGCCAAGCCAGTAGAGGCCAAACTCGCTGGCTCGGTCGGGACTGATGGTACGCACCAATATCGGTAGGGTATAGAGACTGGTAGAATATCATAGAGGGAAGCACAATGGACCAATACTGGTCTAAGTGCATGGGGAAACCCACCCTCTCCAATAACTAACTAAATAAGACAAATGATTTATTCCGAGTCTGCAAGCAGAAAGTTGAAAATCATACTGACTTACCATTTGAGGAGGATATGTTGGCCAAATGACTTCAGTGAACTATGCCATGAAATTTCCCTGAAAACAGAAATAAATACTTTTACATACAGAATAATAAAAGCACTGCTTCACAATATGCACCTGCTAGAGAGTGAAGGATATTACATCTATAAAGCATATAGAAAGGAATATAATGTAGTATTAAAAAATGCAAAAGCAAACTACATTCAGAAAATTATAGCCAGATCAAATAACACTCCAAAAATATTGTGGGAATTTATTATTAGAGAAAGAGGCTCACCAAAAAATACTCTCACTAGTAATATACACTTACAAGATGGAAATGAAATAGTCTCAAGTCCGAGTAGAACATGTAACATATTTAACAAAACCTTCATAGAAACTCTAAATAAACTTATACTTGACAAAAATTGATTACATCCACAAACTAGTAATAACAATATAAGCATAAAAGATTCACTTGTCCTATTAGAAATAACAGAGACTGAATTGATTGAAGTAATTCAGGGCATGAGGAATAAAAAATCAGCATGACTTGATGACATCTCGCCATATCTGCTAAAAAAATGTACACCTTCCATAATAAAGCCACTCTTAGAATTGGTCAATGCATCAATCAGAGAAGGCATCTTCCCTTCTAAACTAAAAAAAATCAGTAGTCAAACCAATCTACAAAAACGGGATAAAAGAAGATGCAAATAACTATCGTCCAATTACTCTTGTACCTGCCCTTTCAAAGGTTCTGGAAACTGTAATAACTAACCAGTTAATAGCATTTTTAGAAAACACAATAAACTTAATAAATCTCAGTTTGGATTTAGGAAAATAAATCTACTAACGTTGCAATAGCCACAATTATTGAAAACATAATAGAAAGTTTGAATGATAAAATAAAATGCAACTGTGTACTATTAGACTTATCAAAAGCCTTTGACTGTATTCAACATAACATTCTCATGGATAAATTTTACAAATATGGAGTCCGTGGTCCCCCTCGTTGGTATCTCCACCTTATCGTGGTGAGGGGGTTTGAGTATGCCAAGGACCCTGAGAGCTATACCAGCGGTAGCATAGCTACTGGCAGGGCCTCCCTTGCTGGACAGGTCAAAGGGTAGGCATCAGACGAAGAGAGACACCGAAAACTGATGCCGGAAGCAGCGCCATCAGCAGCGACTTGAAGCACAGAGCAAATGATGCTCGAGATGGTTCAAGTTCGTATAGCAACAGGCGTGACCAGAGTGGTTTGAACGGCTGTTGTACTGCGATGTGGAAAGCAAATGGAAAAACTACCACATTATCACTTTTCCTGGATAGTCTCTTTCCAAAAACAGAAGATCGCATTAAGTGGAGAAACTGTTTCGGAAGAGGCTGTGGACCTGTCGTCAGACAGATTACTGATGAATGAATGGAGTCCGTGGTATACCACATAAGCTAATAAAATCCTATCTCAGCAACAGAACTCAACATGTAAAAGTAACACATGCAGAAGGCAATCGTATGAAAGAATATTTGTCAAGTAGCCTCCCAGTGAGATACGGAGTCCCCCACGGATCGGTCCTTGGCCCATTACTCTTCATCTTATATATAAATGATATCCTACATCTAACACAAGGCAGATCAGTAATGTATGCTGATGATACATCAGTACTGAATGTAGGGCAAGATATGAATGAGCTCCAAAACACGACTTCAAATGATACAGGAGTGGTAGAGCAATACTTTGAGACAAATAATTTATTTATAAATCCATCTAAAATCACTATATTCTCTTCCAGACAAAACAGTGCAGGCAGGAAAGGAATCTAAAAATCCTAATAAAGAACAGGGAAATATCAAATGTAAAAAGCACAAATTTCTTGGGGGTAGTAATAAATAGTACCTTGAGCTGGGAATTACATATTGAAAAAACCTGCAGTAGAATTAGCCATAACCTGTTCATAATTAACAGGGTATCTAAAATGCTCGATATAAATGAAAGAAGAATGTTGCATTACGGTTTGATCTATCCTCATCTATCTTATGGAATAATAGTATGGGGACATAGTGCTAAGACCCTCACTAGAAGAATTTTTGTACTCCAAAAAAAGGGCAGTAAGATACACTGCAGGGCTAAAACATCTGGAATCGTGCAGGGATAGCTTCAGAAATTTAAAGATACTAACAGCATACTCGCTATACATACAAGAAACAATCCTATATGTAAAAAGAAAAGTATAACTGCACAAAGTGTATGGGCACAACTTAGAACTTTATAATAATAATAATAATCCTTCAGTAGCTGGCTGTATCTTTTACAACAAATTTCCTAACAACATAAAAGAAATAGAAAACAAAAATCAGTTCACAAGGGAATTGAAGTTACTTATTCAGATGTGCTACTACTCAACGCAGGACTATTTGAACGATGAATTCTCGAATATTGGCTACTGATATAAGCAGAAGTATATAGTATATAATGTATAAAATGCTGTGTATTTTATATAATTTTTTAGTAATAAGATTGTTGTAATTTAATAATGTATATTAGCTGAAAGACTTGTCCTATATCATTGTATCAGGATCTAGAGGAGTAATAAAAGAATGAATGAATGAATGAATGAACGTACACAGGAACTTTAGAATTTTTATACACCTAACCTAGCAGGGGGAAAAAAAAGTAATCTGGCTACCCAGTCAACCTTTGGCTGGTAACTAATTTACCACCTGAGGCTAGACACTCTGTTCTTGAAGTTCTGAATCTACACAATTAATAAATCACTACCCTACACACTAAGCCTCTGTTTACTATAGTCTTCACTGGTCACTGCGAGATAATCTTCACTAGGCACTGCTAGGTTATGGCTGCCTTGCAACTCTCTAAACTGTCTGGTAAACTGCAACCAGCCCTTGCTAGCACAATCATTCTTGGCTCCAAGTCCTGTGATTCTCATGACTCTGGAAATCATGTAACTCTGCTGCTGGCCCTTGCCAGCATAGTCATTCTTGGCTCCAAGTTCCGTGAAACTCATGACCACATTTTACTGTTTTATAACTCTGGGAGCTGTGCAACCATTCTGATTCCCTCCCACTTAACTTAACTGGTCCCGTTACATAGCATCAAGCTGATAGTGAGCACCAGTACTGGTAGGGTATGGAGACAGCAGAAATTAAAAGGGGGACGTACAACAGACTATTAGTTGCGGTGCATGGGGAAACCCACCCCTTCTATACTGGATACTGGATACATAGCATCAAGATGAACCACACAAAAAACATACTTTCCAACATCTTTTCTATTGTTGCATGTGAATCCATTGCTGCATACATAAATTTATCAAGCTGTTACCTAGATGCTGAGGATTTCCCAGCCACCATGTCACAATATTATAATCAATGACATAAGCAAGTAATGACAATTAGTCCTTTTATTTTATTTTCACATCATATTCCAATTAGATTACACCTAGCACTATGGCGGAAGTATGGGAAAAGGTCACGAGGAATTTTAAGAACATACAAAACTTGTAACACAAAAGAAGCAACAATATCACCACACAGAAGTAACATGTTTCAATTTGACCTAACTATATTAGTCACAGAGGAGCTGGCATAGCTCAGTCAGTACAGGGAACAGGCAACAGGCTGAATGACCAAGGAGTTGGGGTTTGGTTTCCAATAAGGAAAGAGGTCGTTCTCTTCTCCACAACATCCACACAGCCTCTGGGGCCCATCCACCCTCTTATACAATGGGAACTAGGGCCTGTTTCCTTTGAGGTGAAGTGGCACGGGCCTGAAACCGACAACCCACCTCCATCTAGTGCCGAGGTTGAGAATGATGAAGTTATACCTCCCACTCCTCCACATGTCTTCACAGTGGTTTACATTACATTGGCTAAAAAGTAAAGGTAAAGCTGTCCCCGTGTTTAATTAATTACACACCATGTCACGAAGATGTGTGGGGGTGGACGTACATCGCCATCTTTCTTGACCTCAACACTAGTTGGAAGTGGGTGGTCAACTTCAGACCCCAGCAACTTTATCCCCAGGGAAAGAGCCCCTGTAGCCATTGGACAGGAGGCTGTGTGGGCCCCAGAGACAGTCTGGATCCTGTGAGACGAGAAAAGTCTCTAGTCCCTACTGGGAATCAAATCCCAGCTGTCAAACCCGTGGCTTGTCACTATACCGAGTTATCCTGGCTCCTTATATTGGCTATAAGTAAACTAATGTGATACAAAATTTCCAAATTTTTGTCACTTTATTTGGAAATACATCCTTATAAATTCACAGAGTACAATACCATATAACTAATAACTCCGTGATTTCAGTCCGCAAGTGTACTATACCGACAATACCATATAGCATGTCTAAACTTGTGACATAATGAATTCTTTCACAGCACTGTACCTATACAGTGTGTCCAGGTTCTGTTAGGACTGTGTTCATTAAAAATACAAGATGTGAAATATTTTCAAAATTTCACTTTTTTTTTTTTCAAAATAGTCTCCTTCTGAATCAATACATAGCTGGAATCAATTGAAAAGTTTTCGAAAACAGTCACTGTACTCCTTTTGGGGAATCACATTTAAAACTGCGATACACTCCCTTTGGATGTCCTGGTCGGTTTCGTGACGGCCTCCTTTCATCACCAACTTAACTTTTGGGAACAACCAGAAATCTGCTGGAGCCAAATCTGGCGAATACAAAGGATGATCAAGGACTGTGATCCCTTTTCTGGCCAAAAAATCATGCACAATCTTCGATTTGTGGGGTGGGACATTGTCATGGAGGAGAGACAAGGAAACTTGCTCTCGATATTCAGGTCAAATTCGAAGAATTCTCACCCACAAATGATTGAGGACCCCGAGATAATAATCAGAATTCACTGTTTGACCATCTGGGAGAAATTCCTTATGAATGATTCCTTTGGAATCGAAGAGAATAGCTAGCAGTGTCTTTACTTGACTCTTCTGCATGCACACTTTCTTTGGTTTCGGCTTCTTTGGGCTCAACCACACTGCACTCTGCCGCTTTGTGAGAGGCTCATATTGAAAACACTATGTCTCCTCACCAGTAACAATCAATTTTGTAAAATTTATATCACTTTGGGCTGACTATAACATGTCTTTGCAGTGTTCCACTCTGGCACGTTTTTCATCGCCTGACAGCTCGTGTGGTACAAACCACGCATAGACCTTCCATTTGCCCAAATCCTCAGTCAAAATTTGATGCACAGTAATTTTTGGTATTCCCAAAAGCTCCTCGATGAGTCTTGCAGAAACACATCTGTCTGATGCAAGGATTTCAGTCACTTTTTTCACATTTTCTTCAGTGTGACTTCTTCTCAGCTCTGATGCACGTGGACCGTCTTCAATGTCCTGCCTGCCGTCACGAGAAAATGTTCAAGTGACTCAAACAATCACTACCATAAACACTTTTCATCATTTTGTATGCTCTCTGGCTGTTTTGCCTAACTTCAAACAAAATGTTATGTTTGACTCCCTGTTCAACCGCCATTTTCCAATGAGCGTCAGACGAGTACTGTTACATTCTAGGTCAGAAAACATGATGCAGCGATGCTTGCGCTTTGAAATTATGGACAGCCACAGCTGAACCTTCAAGAATCTTAACACCACAACTCGCAAACAGATGGCACTGCAGGGAAAAATAAAAAAAAAATAGTCCTAACGGAGCCTGGACACACCATGTAAGTTCGATTTGTTCATAGACAATTTAACAGCAATGTATCAACTGTAGCAATTACCGAGTTTAACTAAGTTAGTTTCATTGCTTTGTCATTTAGTGTGCAGCAAAACAATGGCTAAGTCAACACAGGTTATCCAAGCAATTTCAAACTGATTATGAAATAAGCGATTAAAAATCATGTCACATATATGAAGAACTCAACCCCACTGAAATTCGATATGTGCTCCACACACGTTTCTTGCATGACATTTTGTAGTCTGTTATGAGGAACCCCTACAACAGCAATTCATTCAATCTTCATTCTTGATATCATCTCATAAAAGGAAGTTAGAAGGAGGACGTTCGGGGCGCATGAATGTAATGAAAAAGTTTCTAACGATGTCTTGCCCTCAACCATGATTAATTCTGATTTTGATTACATTAGGGACAGCCCAAAAGTGAACCCATTTTGCACTACGACCTCTGACAAAGTGTACAGTTACTTCCTCTTTCTTGTTGGAGCTGATGACTGTGAACAGTACAGTCTCCCGAGCTCTAACATGCGGTACTTCAGAGACAGCCTGAGGTTCTGAAGGAACATACTGCCCCATCTGCCGGGTCAAAGTGTAAGCCAAGCAAGAAGCAGGCAACAAGGCTCAGTTTGCCATATGCGGCATGCTTAGTCATATCAAAATATTTTATGTCACGCTGCTTGTTTGCAGTCATCCTCTATACTGACTGCAATTATGGTACAAAGAACTTCTCTACAGACTACTGAATCTAACTCACTACATACTTAGGCCAAGGTGTGAATTTGCTAATCAGGTCTTCAACTGCAAGTGTCATGCCTCGTATCATGAGTACGCTGCCGAGCCCCTTCCATAGTGTGGTAATTCCCTGACGTCTGTGTAGGTGGACAATGACAGGTAGAAAGGTGACAGGCATCAGATGGTAGAGAGACGAGTTGTTGTGCACCTGCAGTACAATTAAAGGTAGATTAGTAAGTAAACATAGTCAGGGGCACAAGCATATGGTTCGCTAAACTATGGTATCGCTGAAACATTTTTTTCTGGAACCCTGTGAAATATAATTGTCAACAACAGTGTGAAGGTAGCAGGCATCCTCTTGGATTAGGAAACTGGAGTTTGTGGTACCACATAAACCCAATAGGCGGCTTCCGCCAGATAATTCTCATTAAATTCAGTACATCTATAAAACTAGGAAGGAAGAATATAGACTGGATTTATCTGGCTCAAGATATGACCAGTGGCAAGTTCCTGTGATCATGATAATGAACATTTAGTTTCCATAAAATAGAAAGTTAATTCTCATGATTATGTCATGGAAACCAACATGGAAACATCTCTATTTTATACATGCAAAGTACAAAAAAAGTAAAGCTATCAAGTGAAGGCCCACATTGAGGGTCCCACATTACCTAGACAATCAAAGATGGCAGTAAAGTTGTCAGCCTTACATGCCAGCCAGGCTTTACTCCCCGGGAAAATTATTTAATTAATTCCTGGTGTTCATTTCTGTTAGAGGCTGAGTGAACCCCAGGGCCATAGTGCAGCTGGAAGGATTAGGTCAATTGAAAAAAATCCAATGACCTCAGCGGGACTTGAACCCTCGATCTTCTGGCTTGTAGCATAGTGCCTTAACCACTACGCTACCACGTGCTACATATACATGCAAACATACAATTTATTAACTTTATAGACTGTACATATAACTGCTAACAGAATTACTGTTTTTATTTTAAGTTTTATAAAGATCTTTTGATTTATGAATGTTTTTCTATTGACTTAAATTATTTTAAAGAATCTACAAGGAACACTTGAACCCTTGAGAATATCTGTGTAAGCCTTAGGGTCCTGGTATTCCTACCTAAATAATGCTTTCAGCCAACAGATTCAACTGATAAAAAGTTAAAAAGGTAAAGCTAGCCATGTAACAGACAGTGGAGGCCTATAGGGTTAAGAGATGCCAAGGCTCCCACATTTTCTAGATAATTGGCTCAGAAATGGTGGTGAGGTTATCACCTTACACATTGGTTGCCCTTTACTCCCAGTAAGATTCCTGGTACTCGTTTCTGTTAGAGGTTTAGTTGACCCTGGGGACATAGTGTGGCTGGCATAAATAGGTCAATTAAAAATATCTTCTTAATTAAAGAAAGAAATCAGTTTCAGGTAAACATTCTACAACAATGACAAAAAAATATGAAATATCACAAAAATTACAGTGGAAAGTAGGAATGTATACAAATGAATAAACTATGTGAAGAATGATACAAAATAAACTGATTCTCAATCTTCTGCTCAGTCAATAGGCACAAATCCCTTTAAGTGAAAGAGCAAACCTTACACTTCTAGATCATAAAATCTGACTACTGACCTCATGTCTCGGAGTGCAACAAATCATTGGCATATTTGTGACGCAATACCTACCTGACACTGACGCCTTAGGACAACAAATGGGTGACTCAGAAGGTTCTCTGTGATGAGGCTTGCCAGCCCCACACCAATACCAATATATTTTGTGATAGTACCATCTGTGAACACAGAAAAATTAACAGCTTTCTAAAAATTAAGAATGTCTCCTGGATTGCTAATTTTAAATCACTGGCAATAATCTGTGCAGAGGAATTAAAATTACTAAATGAAATGCAATGCCATTAATAACCATCAGCTAAACAGGGATTTTCGTTCAGCAGAATTAACTTTTATCCATACAATTCTGTTTTAAACACAGCTATATGGATATAAGACAGGAATGGATTTTCTGCTGCAAAAAATTAGAAAACATTTTTCACATGCCTTATAAGTACAAAGTATGGTTTAAAATATCTGAAAGCATTCTTTTTAAGTACCCAGACTGAACAAAGCAACCACCAAGAGTCACTAGTATCTCAGACAGTGAAGCACGGTTGCAGTGAACCTGAAAAAAATGTTTTAAGTTGTGTATTGGAAATCTGTCAATTAACATAAAGGAATTCTTTGTATTTAGAAAATGTATGTTTGATACTGTATCACAACAGTCTTGCATATTTTTAAGACACAATGTCACGAACACTCAAATCTGTCAGGACTTCAGACTCAACTGTGTATTACTCCTGTGATGAAATCCTGCACGTGATTCTGAAATCATCATTCTCACGAAAATATAAATGGAACAACTTTTATATTACTGAATCAGTTTCCAAGCTGTTGAATTCTTCAGTTTATGTTGACTGTTACTGATTTGTTTTACTGTTTATAACTGATTTGTGGTCTCTGCAACTCTGTAACAGACTGTGACGGTGAACAGAAATTTTCAGGAATGTAGCAAACCAAGTCAATTATAGCACCTTCAATTAATTTGAGTTATTAAACACTTCTACCTTCTGGGATACAGCGCCATGTAGTCCACTGAAAGTAAAAGTGGCAAGCATACAACCTGCTTTCATGGTGATTTCTTATTTGGGTGATTCTTCAGCACTGAAAGATGGAGGAGATACGTTCCTCCAAAACACAATAGACTACATGGTGCTATATCCCAGAGGAATGAACTCGCCCAAACATTTTCCTTCCTGTGCAATGTTCAAATTTTGTTCAGTGTTTCTTCATGGTACTTAAGCAGACAATTTTTCCTTCAAGCTGACTCATGTTGAGAATAAGAGTACATTTCAGAATGACGTCCTAGCTCAGTGATTACTTATTTGACAAACTGGTATGTCTGTAAACACAAATTTTTACACAGTTCTATTGCAGATGTGGCACATTCAGAAGGTCCTGAAGAAGAATTTACAGCAGAAGGATCAACATTTAAGAGATACCTTACTTTGCGGATCCTGAAACTGACAATGTCAGAAATATGCTTCTTTGTACTTACTGTAAAAC